GGTCTCAAACCTGAGCCTCTGGCCAGACGATTGTTGGCGATCTCGGCCGCCAGCTTCTGCTTCTCTCGGCGTCGCTGGGCGTCAGCTCGCGGACGCCGCGGCCCAGCCCGCTCTCGAGCGCGGGGGGCCCGAGTGCCGCGCCCTGTCGCCGCGCGCGGAGCCAGTCAAGCAGTCCTGGATGGGGCGTGCCGATGTCCGCCGACGTGGCCATGCGACTGTCGGGAATCGGCCGCCAACTTCTGCTTCTTATCGGCGTTGCTGGACGCTGGCGCGCAGGGGCCGAAGTCGCCCGCCGCGGCGGATGGCGGCGGCCTCGGCGACGCGCCGTGCCCGGCGAGGAGCTCGGGGCGCTGGCGCGGACATTGCGCGTGGAGGAGGCCAAGCCGCCATAGATGAACATGCCGATGAGATCGTGGCGCCACGACCGGTGGCGATCAGGGCCGCCAGCTCCTTCTGCTTCTCGTCGGCGCTGCTGGCCGCTAGCACCCGGGGGCCGCGGTCGCCCATCGCGGCAGCGTGGCCCGCGGACTGGCCCATCTGCCCTGGCAGCATGTCGGTGCCGTTGGAGGTGATGTAGTCCATGGTCGCCAGCGTGCTGGCGCGGCCATGCGTGAGCTCTGTCTGGCTTCCCCTGGAGATGTGCTCCGTGCCGCTGCCCGCCGAGAACCCGGCGGGGCCCCGAGATCCCGCGAGGGCCTGGCCACTTGGGCAGGCCCGCAGGCCCCAGAAGAGGTGGCGGCCGCCCCCGCGGCAGCGGCGGCGGCCGCAGCGGCGGCGGCTGCGGCCGCCGCGGCGGCGTCGGCCGCGGCGGGCCCCAGCGCGGCCGCGCGAGCCATTGCCGCGGCAGCTCGGCCGAGCTGCTGGCGGCGGCGGCGGCCGCGGCGGCGGCCGCGGCGGCCGCCGCTCTGGCAGCGCCAGCGGTAGTGCTAGCGGCGGCGGCGGCGGCGGCGGCGGCGGCGGAAGCCGCGGCAGGCCGCGCGGCGGCGGCGGCAGCCGAAGCGGTCACGCACTGCGGCGGCGGCCGCGACGCCCGCCGCGCAGCCGCCCGCCGCGCGGCGGCGGCCGCGGAAGCGGCGGCGGGCGAGGCTGACGCACAGCGCGCAGCCGCCGCGCCGCAGGCGCCGCCCGCGGCGCCAGGGCCGCGGGCGGGGGCTGCGGCGGCGGCAGCGGCGCACGCGCCGGCGGCGGCGGCCGGGGGGCTGGCCGGGCCAGCCGGCGGCGCCAGCACCGGTGGCGACGCGGCGCGCTAGGCGGCCGCGAGCCGCTGGCGGCGGCGGCGGGCCGACCGTGACGCCGCCGCGCCAGCGGTCACAGCGACCGCGGCGCCGCGGGCCAGTGGGAGTCGCCACCGCGCGCCCAGCATGGCACCGGAGGGGGGGGGGGGCGCTGGGACAGGGCCCCCTTCCCACCCCCTCCACAAGGCAAGCGATCAGGAGGCGGGGGCCGCCCCCAGCTCGGGGAGCGGCCGGCTCGGTACTTGAGCCAGAGCAGCTTGAGCCAGAGGGTCACGGACACGCGCGCGTGTGCGCGCGCGCGCCCGCTCGCGCGCGCACGCGCGCGCACGCGCACGCGCACGCGCGCGCGCACGCGCATGCCCGCGCACGCGCGCACGCACGTGCACGCGCAGGTGCGCATGCACGCGCACGCGCACACGCACGCGCACGCGCGCGCACGCGCACACGCACACGCAAACGCACGCGCACGCGCACGCGCACGCGCACGCGCACACGCGGACGCTAGCGCAAACGCACACGCACACGCACACGCACACGCACACGCACACGCACGCGCTGACGCACGCGCGCACGCACACGCACACGCACACGCACGCGCACGTGCACACGCGCACGCTCGCGCACACGCACACGCACACGCACACGCACACGCACGCGCACACGCACACGCACACGCACACGCGCATGCACGCACGCGCATACGCACGCGCGCACGCACACGCACGCGACACGCACACGCACACGCACACGCGCATGCGCACGCACGCGCACACGCACACGCACGCGATACGCACGCGCGCGCACGTGCTCACGCACACGCACACGCGCGCGCACACGCGCACGCACACGCACACGCACGCGCACGCGCACACGCGCACGCGCACGCACACGCACACGCACACGCACACGCATGCGCACACGCACACGCACACGCACACGCGCATGCACGCACGCGCACACGCACGCGCGAACGCACACGCACACGCACACGCACACGCGCATGCACGCACGCGCACACGCACGCGCGCACGCACACGCACGCACACGCACACGCGCACGCACACGTGCATGCGCACGCACGCGCACACGCACACGCACGCGATACGCACGCGCGCGCGCTCACGCACACGCACACGCGCGCGCACACGCGCACGCACACGCACACGCACGCGCACGCGTACACGCGCACGCACACGCACACGCACACGCACACGCGTGCGCACGCGCATGCGCACACGAACGCGCACACGCACGCACGCCCACGCACCACACACACAACACACAACACACAACACACACACAACACACACAACACACAACACACAACACACAACACAACACACAACACACAGCACACAACACACACAACACAAACAACATTCAACGCACCCAACACACACTTCACGCACACAACTGTCACACAACACACTCAATACACACAACGCACCACACACGCAACACAAGCAACGCATAAGACGCACAACACACAACATAGACACAACTCACGCCACACACAACACACAACATATACATGATACCAGAGAAAGCCCCAACCACAATTTTTCATTTTCTTGGGCTATACTGCTATGGGGCTTTAGGGCTATAGGGCTACAGTGCTGTAAGGCTGAGGGGCTGTAGGGCTACAGGGCTATAAGGCTATAGGGCTTTAAGGCTACAGGGCTATAGGGCTACAGGGCTATATGGCTATTGGGTTATGGGCTATTGGGTTATCAGGACTATGGGGTTCTTGGGGTATACGCTACCGGGCACCCGGGCACCCGGCCACCCGGGCGCCCGGCCACCTGGGCACCCGGGCACCCGGGCACCCGGGCACCCGGGCACCCGGGCATTCGGGCACCCGGGCACCCGGGCACCTGGGCACCGGGGCACCCGGGCACCCGGGCACCAGGGCACCCGGGCACCCGGGCACCCAGGCACCCGGGCACCTGGGCACCCGGGCGTGCCGCCGAAGTCGGCGCCATACCTCGCCTAATATTAGTCCACTAGGACTCCTACAGAGGCAAGCTCTGATTGGGGAACAACACTCAACACACGCGACGCACACAATACGCAACATACAACACACAACACACAACACACACACCACGCACATAACACACAACACACAATCCACAATACACACAACACAAACACAACGCACACAACGCACACACATCACACACAACACACAACACACACAACACACCATTCACACCACACACAACACACACCACACACAGCACACACACACCACACACAACACACACGCAACATACACAGCACACATATACACAACACGCACAACGCACAACACACACAACACACAGCACACAACACACAACACACAACACACAACACACACAGCACACAACACACAGCACACACAGTACACACAGCACACACAACATTCAACACGCACAACACACAACACACACAACATACACAACACAACACACAACACACAGCACACAACACACAAACACACACAACACACATTACACACAAGTCACACAGCACACACCCCACAACACGCACAGCACAGTTCACACAACACACGCAACACACAAACACAAACACGGACGCACTCACGCACGCACGCACGCACCCAGCAACGCACACACATACACTCATTTATACCTACACCTACACATACTCAGACGCACATACGCATACACACATCTTTACACATACACATACACGTTCACATACACGTATACATGCACATGCACATACACACAACCACTTACACATACAACCACACCTACACATACACACATACACATACACATAAGTATACACATACAACTACATATACATCTGCACCTGCACATACACATACTCATACAGACATACATACATACTCGCACACTACACACATTTACACACATTTACACACACTCACACACACTCACACACACTCACACACACTCACACACACTCACACACACACACTCACACACACACTCACACACTCACACACTCACACACTCACACACACTCACACACTCACACACACTCACACATATTGACATTGACACATGCACACACATTTTTCCCGTCGGCGGCTAGGCAGAGTCACTGCGCTGGCGATAGGGCGTAACTTGGATGCACGAAACGAGAATTAAGCCGCGATGCACGGGGGAGGGAGAAGAGGCCCGGCGCGGGCAAGAGGGAGGGAGGAGCCGAGCCCGTTCAGGAGTAAGGACATACACACACACACGCATACACTCACATACTCACACACTCACACTCCCAAACACACACACACACACACACGCGCGCAAAATTTGAGCATCAGGTCGGCAATGCTGTCTGGGTGTATCGATGGTTTTCGTTCGAGGGGTGTCAGAGGCAGGAAGCGAGGAACAAAAAAGGTTATCTGAGTCGTTCGAAGCAAGTGGGAGCAGGTTTTTGTTGAGATCTCTGGTCTGTCCGATGTCCCTGGATGGATCGTTGAAAGATGCCTTTGGACGGATGGGCGTCATTTGAAGTGGTCTTTTGGTGAGGTGTGTAGACTATTCGAGATCCTTGGATGAAGTCTTTGAATGAGATGGTAAGGCTAGCGCAGATTGCTTAGACGGGTTCTGGAGACGAGGTGTTTGGGCGTTATGCGGTGACATTGGAGTGGAGTGTTTTTTGAGGTGATTCTTACCATCATTGGGGATTGCTCAGGTCCTCGAGGGAGGTTCTGCAAGGAATCATGGAGGACGATACCTTTGGAGAGCCAACCTAGTGTTGCCAGTTGTTTTGGCGCCGCGGGTCCAGGAGAAGGGAGACCTCATCGTCACCACCCCGGGAGATATCAAATCGCTGGTGCTGCGCTTCCTCGAGCAGCTTGAGGTGGTGAGTGACCGGAGGGCCAAGCGGAACACCCCACAGCTCCGGCGCGAAACCCTCGAGATGGGCAAGGTACTGGAGCTCCTGCGGAGGGAGAGCGTGTGCATGATCGACGAGGTGGACATGGTGCTGCACCCGTTGAAATCCGAGCTGAATTTCCCCACGGGCCCGAAGTCCTTGATCCACCACGCCCCCGAGCGCTGGAGGCTGCCACTGCACATCTTGGAAGGCTTCTTTGCTGCAGAGAACTCCTCGGCGATCCCCCCGCAGCTTAAGGAATCGCACGCCGCGATGGTCATCCTTGGCGAACTCTCCCAGATCATTCGGCACGGCTCCGAGCAGCGGCTCCTGCAGAAGAACCCGCACCTGATCTTGTTGAACGACGACTTCTACCATGACCGAATGAAGGGCATTCTTTGCCAGTGGCTTGGCATCTGGCTTACCAGCGAACACGTCGCTAGGGTGTTCGAGGTTGGCTACACGCCAGAGGACCGGGGACTGTCCGAGGACGAGATAACTGCTTACCTCATCTTCCGCACAAACCCACTGAAGGCGGTCGTTACGGGCACCCTCGAGCAGTGGAGGGCATGGACTCCAGAAGCTTCGTGGTTGTGGGATCTTGTTCGCAGCCAGGCTGTGAATTCCAAAGCTTCTGGCGACTTCGACCCAGAGTGGATCCCGAAAGACCACAAGGGGTACACCACACGCACCTCGTATGCCGCAGCCATCAAAGCCTCGAGCGGTGATTCTGTGAGCGTCGAACTGATCGAGACGCCCCAGGGGCTGCAGCAGCGGCTGGAACGCGTGGACCGGCTACCAGCCAAGGACGTGCAAACTCTCAATTTGGGAGCCGAGTGGCTGTCTACCTTCCTTCCGCACTGCTTGCAGAAGATTGACCGTGTGACTTTCGGGATCATGACGGATGACCAGGTCAAGGCCGCCCTCGACGAGCAGCCCCTCATGCCACTCACGCGCGCAAAGTTGGCGATTCCGTTCATCGGCAAGGACGTGCCCTCCCCCTGCTCCGAGTTCGCGCATCCAGACATAGTGCTAGGCCTCACGTCCTTTGCGTACCGCTACGAGGGCCTGCGCCACAGCGACTTCGACGAGGTGATGGCCGTGCTCGCCGAGCGGCTGGACAACGAAGGGGGCAGCTCTCCCCTGGACCGGCCGACCGCCATGCGCTGGAAGGCGTGGGTGGAGGAGGCAGGTGCGGTTTTCTGCGTGAAGCAGCGCGAGATGGACGACATGACCGCAGATGAGCAGCTCAAGGAGGATCCTCGCGCTGACACCCGCGCGCGTGTGCTTCCTCTTCACCTGCTCGAGAAGACGAACAAGCCCCAAATGGAGCGCCTCTTCCAGCTCTTCCGCAAGCTGCCCTCAGCGGTGCACTTCCACCTTGAGGTGAATATCTTCCCTAATTTCATGCGTTTCCAGGAGCAAAAGTTTTCCGCTTCAGGCCAAGAGCTCGGAGGCAGCATCCTCTTCAAGCAGCGGCTGGGCTTCTCGGGAACTCCAAGCGAGCTCCTGCCGCTGGAGCTTGGCAAATGCGAATACGAGCCAGGTAGCGAAGGCGAAGTGGTGCACACGCTGACATCGACCAGCTTCGTGTCCTTTCAGCACATGAACTCCGACTGGACAGTCGAGGCACTGCTGGACGCGGTTGTCGCTGCGGCCCAGCGCGGGGAGTGCCAGGCCCTCATTGACACAGGGGCTCTCATCACTGGCCTCACCAACAAGGAGGTAGCAGAGCACCTGCTCGGCTTCCGCAAGCGCGTAGATGGATCCACGCCGCTGACCCTACCAGAGACAGTGGACGGTGTCGTCTTCATTGAGGAGGATGGCGCCAAGAAGATCTTGCTCCGGCAGACGCGTGAGGTGGTGAAGTTAGCGGACAGTGGGGTGCCAGTCACTTCCAGGTTTTGCTTCTACGATCAAATCCACACCACCGGCATGGACATTCAGCACCGTCTGGACGCCGTGGCAGCCCTGACGTTGGGAAAGGACATGGTTTGGCGTGACTTCGCGCAGGGCGCCTATCGCATGCGCGGTATAGGGCGTGGTCAAAAGATTCTATAGGCTTACGCCACATCCGCCGACCCCTTGTTTCTTGTGTTGCCGTGTCTGTGGGGGGCCACGGGCCCCGGAAGTGGCACGCCACGTGGGGGTTGGCGTTTTCCGGGGACCCCTCCAACGTCGCACGCGATGCAAAAAAAGGGCACCCTGATATGCAAGACCTGCAAATGATGCCCAATCGGGGGCGCGCGTGCGGGGGGGGGCAGGGGGGAGGGGGAGAGAGGGATGGGGGGTGAGGCGGAGGATGGGGGGAGAATAATCGGGGAGGAAGAGGATGAGGCGGGGGAGGAAGAGGAGGAGTGGGCGAGGAGGAGGTGGAAAAGGAGGAGGAGAGGGGGAGGAGGTCGGGGACACAGAGACGAAACTCTGGGATATGTGCTATGGGTTAAAGGCTTTTTGTATGTGTATAGGGATCTCGCGGCACGCTTCTCGGGGACCTCGGGAAAGCAGTTTTGAACCCACCTGGCGGCCGAGGCGGAGGAGGAGGAGGAGGAGGAGGAGAAGGAGGAAGGGGACACAGAAACAAGGCTCTGGGTTATTGGTTTTGGGTTAGAGGCGTCTTGCACCAGCTTGGGACCAATCAGGAGGCAGGTTTTGCCGTCTTGGGGTCGTCTGAGGCCGACTTGGGAGGCGTCCAGGGCCGTGTTAGGATTCTCTGGGGCCGTCTTGAGGCCGTCTTGGGGCGCCGTGGGGCGATCTTGGAGGCTCTTGGGGCTGCGTGAGCCGACGGAAACCGGGAAACGCAACAAGTGCAAACATGTTCAACAACGCAATGGATGCCCAATCGGGGGCGCGCGTGCGGGGGGGGGCAGGGGGGAGGGGGAGAGAGGGATGGGGGGTGAGGCGGAGGATGGGGGGAGAATAATCGGGGAGGAAGAGGATGAGGCGGGGGAGGAAGAGGAGGAGTGGGCGAGGAGAAGGTGGAAGAGGAGGAGGAGAGGGGGAGGAGGACGGGGACACAGAGACGAAACTCTGGGATATGTGCTATGGGTTAGAGGCTTTTTGTATGTGTATAGGGATCTCGCGGCACGTTTCTCGGGGACCTCTGGAAAGCAGTTTTGAACCCACCTGGCGGCCGAGGTGGAGGAGGAGGAGGAGGAGGAGGAGGAAAAGGAGGACGGGGACACATAAACAAGGCTCTGGGTTATTGGTTTTGGGTTAGAGGCGTCTTGCACCAGCTTGGGACCAATTCGGAGGCAGGTTTTGCCGTCTTGGGATCGTCTGAGGCCGACTTGGGAGGCGTCCAGGGCCGTGTTAGGATTCTCTGGGGCCGTCTTGAGGCCGTCTTGGGGCGCCGTGGGGCGATCTTGGAGGCTCTTGGGGCTACGTGAGCCGACGGAAGCCGGGAAACGCAACACATGCAAACATGTTCAACAACGCAATGGAAATGTAATGAAATGCGTAATGTGCGCCTCTTTCAGATGTCTTGGGGGTCTTCTTGGAGACTTCGTGGGCGATAGTGAAAGCCTTGTAGGCCATCTTGACGCCATCTTGGGCCGTCTTCGAACTGTCTTGGGCCGTCTTGGAGCCATCTTGGGCCGTTTTGGAGCCATCCTGGGCCGTTGTAGAGCAATGTTGGCCTCGAGAGCGCGAATCCTTTTGTGTGCGCAAACGCAACCCCGCCACCGTGCCTGGGTTGTTGGTATGAGATTTGCGCGGTGATCGTTGGGATCTCTTGGGGGGCTTCTCGCGGGACTCTTGGAGGCAGTTTCGAAGCCTCTTGGGGGCCGTTGTGAGGCCGTTTTGGAGCCTCTTGGGGGCCTCTTGGGGCCTCTTGTGGGCGTCTTCGGGGCCTCTTGGGGCCTCTTGGGGCCTTCTGGGGCCGTCTTGGGGCGGAAGGCTCGGATTGTCGGTTCGGGCTCCCCCTCTTGGGCACCTCTTGGGGCCGTCTTGGGGCCCTCTTGGGCTGTCTTGGGGGCCTCTTGGGCCGTCTTGGCGCCCTCTTGGGCCGACTTGGGCGCCTCTTGGGGGCCTCTCGGGGCGGTCTTGGGGTGCTCTGGGACCGTCGTCGACGCCGTGAAGGCTGACAAGTAGTATATGATCAAAATGTACGTTTTCCCATAGGAATTTGACGATTTTCGGCGCTTCGGCCCTTCAGAGGACTGCTCTTGGAGGCCTCTTGGGCCGTCTTGGAGGCCTCTAGGCTCGTCTTGGGGGCATCTTGGCGCTCGTTTGGCGCCTCGGAGCCCTCGTGAGCCGTCTTGGAGGAGTCTTGGGGCCTTCTTGGCCCGTCTTGATCCCCTTTTGGGCCCAAAAGAGCCCCGTGACGCGCTCGTGCTGGGCCCGGGGGGGGGGGGTCAAATCTCCGGTTTTGGGTCTCCGGGACGTGGCACCGAAGAGCTTCGCACTGCGTCTGGCGAGCACGTGGACAGGCAGGTGCGACAGACCCGAGTGTCCGTGCGGTGGGGAGAGAGAGGAGCGCGCTCTGGCGAGGACGTGCTGAATGGGAGACCGTGCGGCCAACGTTGATATGACGACACTGCAGTTTCGGCTCTGGGAGATGCTGGAAACGGACGCGACCCGCATTCGTTACGTGATTTATCGGGGGCGCGCAATGATGAACCAGTTTGTTCCATGGTTCTTCGGCGTGGCATTCCCGTTTTGTTTCAAGTACGGAGTGGGGATGCCGGACATGCCGGAATGGCAAGAGAATGCGCGACACCGACGTGGGCCGGCAGCGCCCCGCGTGGAACTGGCTCTGTGGGCGCGCATCATGACGCGTCGGGTGGAGTCTCAATTCCGGCGTGAGTGGCGCTTCGGCTTCACGCTGTCGTCGGTTTTGTTTCAAAGTTCCGTAAATATGGCCCGGTCAGTTCGCTTGGCGGAGTATAGGAAGGACGGAGAGACGGAATGCCGGTATTCGCAAGGAGAACTGGAGAAGGCAGCCGTGAGCATCGTCGATGCTTTGTATGGTACATACAAGGATCCATCCACTGGGAAGTCTACGAACGTGCGTGGAGATTTCTCGAAGCTAAAGTTTGTGCAGTCGCTCGACCCGATAGCGAGACGATTGGCTGCAGGGGCCAGTGCGGTCGCTCGGAAGATTGAAGGGACGAACGAGGTGCGGACGCTCATGAGATACGACACACATGCGGCTCGAATCGCCCATGGGGTGCCGTTATTTTTCACCATGTCTCCGGACGAGCGGCACAACCTGGTCATGGTGCGGTTGTCGCGGTCGCGAAGAAAGGACCCCGTGAATCGTCGTGCTGCGCGGGAATGGCACGGCCCCACGCACGGTGGGTTGTGGGAGCCTTCGTTGGCGCACGCGCCAGAAACATCAGGAGATAGCGTAACGGGGCACTGGCGCGAGCAGGCGGGCCAGAATGCACCGGGCACCGAGGGGGCACAGGATGACGACGACGTGAACATGGCAGTGTCTCTGGCGATGTTGGCGGATGCCGTGCCCGCGTCGGACGAGAGAAGGGCAGTGCTCGCCCGGGGCCCGCTGGCTGGCGTTGATGGGTTTCGAGTCATTGTGGGCCTCGTGTTTGAGTACATTCTGGGGATGCGGTATTGCCCGAAATGCCCAGATTGTGATTGCGCGGATTTACTCGGCAGCAACGCGACGACGGCGGGCGGGTGCTTGGGCCGAGTGGACGGGGTGTACGGCAGCATTGAAGCTCAGAAGTCGGCTGGCAGTCTTCATCTGCACGTGCAGGTTTTCGTGCAATGCTTGCGCCAGCACACGCCGTTGCACGAACTGGTCCGGCTGCCGCCTGATGTGCTGAAGAGGCTGGTGGAGGAGTACAAGGCGTACAAGAGAAACGCGAGCCGTCAGGAGCACGCAGACGTAGAGGGATGGAGGGCAAGGAAACAGGAGGTGGAAAAGGCGTGGCCTGCGTATCGCGAGACGTCGGATCTGGTCGCAGTGGCAGAGTACCTACACAGCGGACGGACTACTGGTGCAAGAGAGACGGCACGATGCAGCGCGGAAACAGCGAGCGACCAAACCCCGTGCGCGTCTGATTGTGTTGCAAGAGCAAATGAGGAGAAGGGGGCCGTGGATGGGCGATCGTGGTTGCAGGAATACCTCGGCGTGTGGGTGCAAAGGGGGCAGGAGTTTAGACAGAACCATGTGCATCAATGGAGTAAGCGTTTGCAGCGTGTGATACCGTTGGCCCATTGTCAGAGGAAAGACGATATGACGCAGTGCAAAAGCTTCTTTCCGCGGACGTCGTGGCTGATAGACCGCGCGGTAGTATTGCGCCGAGGCTTTTTGAAAAACCGCGACATGCCACGAGCAGGGAGAAGGGATATGACAGGGTGCTTGCACGGACCCATGAACGAAGAGAACCTCAACGGAACGCTGCCAGCGATGCTGAGCGGCGCGGTCGGTTTGAATTTTAACTGCGATTTACAAATCCCATACAGGTTCCCGGTGACTGAAGCGACGCACGATAGTTGTGTGTGCGACGAGCGGTGCTGGGAGACGGATCGTCCGATAGACATGGTTCCGGCTGCGCAGCGAGCGCAGAATGCAGCAGCGAGGTACGCGGCGGACTACCAATGCAAGCGGTGTGCCCCGTCGTTCAAAGAGGTGAGGGAGATCAAAAAAGGCCACCACGCGCTGGCGGAGCAGACGAAAGACAGGACTGCAGCGTACCGAGCGAACAGGCACATGAAGAGGTTCCTCAGTGACATGCACGGTAGAGGCGTGGTGCGGTCGGCGCAGGAGAGCGCGAACTTGCGAGCGCACAGAGACCCGAGAGACGTGACAAGTGCAGAAAGTATAAAGACTGCGAAGACAGCCGTGATCCCAGGAGCAGAAGCAGTGCGCATGGCGGAGCAGATATGTGCTGACGGCGGCGATGTTGCCGTGACGGCGGCGAGGACTCTGGAAGCCGATAAACGAGCAGGGTCGAAAAAGGTTCGCATTGTGTCGAAGAGTCCAGTGTACTTGTACGGCATGCGCCCAATAGACGCTCCTGGTGCGCCCGACTTGGCACACTTATCGTTGTATGATTTGTTGCGGTACTGGCG